CCCCTTACCTTCCCATCTCTACCCTCTTACCTTCCCATCTCTATCCTCTTACCTTCCCATCCCTACCCCTTTCATTAGCCACTTCCAGACAGACATTAATCTATGATCATATCCCTTTTAAAACCCTTAAATAAATAAATAAATAAATAAATATATATATAATAAAAAGAAAAAAGAACAGCAACTTTTTTTGCCCCGACCGGTTTCTTTCTTTCTTCAGGGGGTTTTGTTTATTTGTTACTAGGTGATGTCATAAAGGCTAAAATGTGACGTCTGTAACAATGGGTGTTTAATTGTTACTTTTACCAATGCTTTTATCTATTCAATGTAGGTTTATACTTATTAATGAATAGATTTTCTTTCATTTCCCTTTCTGTTTGGGTTGTTTCCCTAGTGAATTTATAAAATGGGAATACTGTAAAGTCCTTGTTTTTGTTCATAGGGCATTCCCTAATATGCCCACTCACAGACGTGCACTGATATTTACCTTCCCATCTCTACCCCCTTACCTTCCCATCTCTACCCTCTTACCTCCCCATCCCTACCACCTTACCTTCCCCCTTGGGAAGGTAAGGGGGTAGAGATGGGAAGGTAATATTACTTGTACAGGAAAAACGTTTTTACTTTTAATATATATATATATATAAAATCCCTCCATCAGACCTAGTTCTGCTGCCAGCGCCCTCCAGCCCCCTCCATGCAGTCCATTCGGGATGTCCAGTGACTTGATCACATGGGTGACCTTATACGGCAGTTCCCTCAGCAATGTCTTGCCATCTGGAGTGGTGTTCTGGATTCTTTTGGTGGCTTTACTTTCCTCTAATGTTTTCTTTCTAACATACCATTCACCTGAATTAAAAGAAATAGCGTAGCTACAACAGGACATTTGAAAAATATTATACAGGAGAGAAATATCTTAATTCATTCCAATCCCCCAGGGGTGTTTGCTTTCAGCTCCCATAAGATCACTTCATTCTTCCATTGTTAGCATGCCTGGACTTTATATCAATCTGATTTATATAATTTACCATAAGTCTTCACCAACATAATTAACAGACTCATCAAAGCCTGGGCTCCCATACCTAGATCGATCTAACAGGATCAGTCCATCTCCAAAGGGTTTCTTGCTAAATCCCTTTCAGCTTAAGCAGCTTAGATGTCTGACACGCCTACTAGAGCTGCTAAATGATAGTTAATTATCCTCTTTCAGCTTCAGTGCAGTGGGCATGACAGACATCTAAGCTGCTTAAGTTTAGCAAGAACAATTTAGCAAGAACCCCCTAGGAGATAGATCAATGCAAAGTTAGTACAATAGGGTCTGGGAATGGTCCCAAAGATTCTAATCAAAGTGCTGAAGACAGTCACAAGCCAGCAGCAGCAGGGGTCACCCTGACCTCTCTCATTGTCATCAGTGCCGTTTGTCTCCTGGGGGTCAAGTTTTCTGGCCAGCTTTAGCTGACCTGTTTCTCTCAGAGCTGAAATGAACTGTGGGAACCACTCGTCTCTTCTTTGTAACCTATCCAGTAGCGTCATTGCTGCAATGCTCCTGCCTCCATTATGCCTTTCATCTCCAGTAATAGCCTCCTGGAAGAATATCATATTGACTGTTAAAGTCCCCCGCACACGGTGAGCAAGTGGCACATGCCACTTGCGCTGCGCCATTTTCTCATCGTTTGCAGAGGTATTTTGGTGAGATTTTTGCCTCTCATGCAGCTGAACAAAATATCTCATGTGTTTGATATTTTTGGCCTCTTGAGGCAAATGGCTCAGCGTGTGCAGGGTGCAAGCTCCGATTGCTCAAGTCATGCCAACAATGCGCATATGCCAGCAGCCAAAAACAAAGAAAAATGGCAGCCCCCAGCAAAGTCAACAAAAATGTACACAGTTAAAATTAGTCTGATTGATTAAGGTGGTCACCATTTTCCATTACTTTCAGAAAAAAAAATCAATATGTAATGTTTCCTTAATCACATGATCCCACAGTTCATGGTGCGTCCAATAGGGGCAGGCCAGGAGGCACCTCTGCTGAGCAAAGAACGCAGTGTTTGCGGGGAGCTGAGGAGCGCGAGCATCTGGCACAGCACAAGTGGCGCGTGCCAATTGCTCACCGTGTGTGGGGTGCATAACACTCTTTCATCTCTGGAGAACATTTTAAAAAATCCATTACAATCCTCATCTGGCACTGTTTATAACATAATAGTATCAAATACCATACAATTCTTAGAAATAAACAATGTTAGTTCTAAAATTTGTTCATGTCACCACTGCTCAAAGCTTGTCCTAATTTGTTTTATATATAATACTGATAAACCTATGACAAACTCTGAGTACTTAATTTATTTTTATTAGAAATTACAATCCCTATATGGGTATTAACCCCCCCCCGATTCCCTGCAAAGAATTTTATTTTACTAACATGCTCTCCAAAGAAAGTATATAAATTGGTGGGAGAGCATTGTGGTGGTTGGGTGGGAGGGGTCCAAGAAGTCTTTTCATTTACCCTGTCCTGTTTTGTCAGACACGAGAGGTATGGCATCAGTTGCGCTGGGTCTACTTTATCCACTAGTTCTGCACAGTTCTCCTGGATTCTCTTCTTGTATTCTCTATCTTCCATTCTGTGTAAAATAGGTAAAAATATTAATACAATGCAATACAATACAATACAATAAATTTTATTTTATGTCGGGTATAGATTGAAAGGAAACATTAGCTTTGCAGCTATTCACCAACAGGGATAGGACAAACATTTCTACAAATAATACAATATTTATGAGGTCTAGTAAGATAGTAAATGGAAAATATTTCTACAAAAAAATACAAATACACATGAAGTCTACTAATTAAGATAGTAAATGAAAAATTGTTCTATGATTAATATAAAAATGCTAGACAATTTATTGTGAAAAACAAATATTTCTACATACAATGCTCACTAATATAGATGCATAAAATAATGTAAACATCATACATGTTGTATATATTATTACACAGCTTCGCTGAATGTATATAGGTTAAGTTGACATATATTTAACAGCTCATCGTAACTGCTTGTGTGGTTGTCATAGACAAATCTTAGACCCCTTTCCTGTACTGAGTATCTCTTCTAATTTTTTCATATTCCCTCACCACAAAAGTGCCATACTAACAGATAATAATTCAATTTTGATAATGTAAAGTACCTGAATATATGGCAAGCCCTCATGGAACACCTAGATAAGCTGAAAACCTTCTCAGAGTGTTTAATGGGCATGCTGTTTGAGAACATAATTCTGAGATGTGTTTGCTAAAAGTGATTCTTGGGTCAAAGTAAAACCCAAGGAGTTTGAAAATTGGTTTCATCAATTTTCCATTGAAAGATAACTGCTCATTACTATGGTGGTCTGCTATTTTACCAATAAAAACGCTTGAAATTTGTTGAACTTGTATGACACATTTAGAAGTAAAAAAAATGTTTTTGGTTTTGAGGGTGTTAGTTTGAATCCAAATAAACAAAAAAGTAATAAACAAACAAACAAACAAAAAACTGGCCTACCTTCAAATATAGCACTGCATAAATTATTGTTCATTTTTTTCATTTTTCAATAAAAACTGAACGAGCAATGACGTGACTAATTAAGCAAGGCCAAATTAAGCTATAGATACATTGTATTCATGTACTGATCCGGCATTTTCCAGCTTAAAATATAAAAAGACAAGCATGCATATTCTACAACAGAGCACTAGCTACTTGTTCTTTTACTGCTTACAGTAACACTTATACGTGCTTGGATAGTTTAATTTTAAAATATGTCATGACAATATAATATCAAGTAGTTACTCCTTGATTATATGAATAGATAATTTACCGGATAGTAAAACCGGGTTGACAATATCTTCTTCCAATCGTCATATTTAGCCCATCTACTTCTTGTGATGACTAAAATCGTAACTAACTCCCGTTAAGTAACAGAAAATATCGGATAACATAACAGGAAAACAACCCACCTGCTTTCGATTCCAGATACCAAAATGGCTGTTGAATTTACGTCACCACGCACGATGTACACAGCTCTCAATTCATTACGATTATTATTAGCATTCATCTATAAAATTATACTAAAATATTTATGGTTCTAAATTTTTAAAAGTAAAATTGATTTTTATATTTTCTTTATTATATTACACATGAACGAGTTTTTTTAAAGTTAAATGACATAAAAGAAATAACTTATCAATGTGTTTAGACCTGCCGGGAAATACTAGTGTTAGTCGGGAAACCGGGGGATTCCCTCTGGAAAATTGCAGAGACGTATTTGAAAAGGAAAGTTCGATTTAGTATTTTTCCAGGTATTTATTCAATCGTTACGAGATCTGAGATGTTGTGGGAATTTACCAATTTTTTTCTACATTGTTAGATATAAATTCCATTCGCGATTGAACTAGCTTTCACTTTAGTAAACGATCGGGTACATGTAATACTATAAATTCTAGTTGAAATAATTAGAAGTAAGGAGTTGTCTAGTTTCCCGATCAATTGTTGGACTATGGATAATAGTCAGCCAAGAGAAGAATGCGATGAAGTTGGTCAAGGCGACTCGCATATCGACAAGTTTCAACTGCAGAGGGAAATATTAACTGTATGCTCAACAGTTTTCATCGACAAAATACAACCAGTTGAACTCTGTGTTCATCTGTCTGATATCATCGGTAAAGGTAAATATTCTGCTTTCGTTTTGTTATTATTATTATTATTATTATTATTATTATTATTATTATTATTATTATATGTATGTCTGTTCTTGGTGTTGTTAACATGAACATGTTCCAATGGGTTAATATATATATATATATATATACTGTACATGTTCATGTTCGTGTAGAAAATTTTGTAAAAACTGTATGTATAATACTGCATTCTGGTGAATTTTAACTGTTATTTATTGCTCAATCAGAATTCAGAAATTGCAATAATTTTTTTTTTGCACCTCAAATCCCAGGGGGGGGGGGGGGGGGGGGCCCCCCCCCCCCCCCCCCCCCCCCCCCG